TTGGCCCAACTTGTGCCTCTCACTCCCTCTCCCCACATACCCCCCAGCCCTGCTGGTGCCTCTCGCCCCCCCCACAACCCTCTGCCCCCTGCCCCCAGCACTGCTGGAGGGGGGGGCCCAGCTGCCAGGGCTATAGGGCTACAGGGTCAGGGACCCATGTTGGCAGCACCTCACCAGATCTGTGCAATGGGTGGGGGTGGGGGTAGGTGCAGGCTGTGGGCTTGGGCTCCCTGCTGTTGCCCACACCTGGGGCCTCCTCAGCCCAGTGGGCATGACCTGGTGTGGCAGGGAACAGTGGACCTGCATGGAGAAGCTCCTTGTCGCTGTGAGCTCTGTGCTGCCCCGTTGATGTGCCCCATGTGCATGTGGCTGCAGTGGGGGCAGCCCCTCAAATCTGCCCTGTGCACAGAGGGGCATCACCAGGGCAGCGCAGAGCTCGCAGTGACAAGCAGCTTCTCTGTGTGGCTCTGCTGTTCCCTGCTGTGCTGGGTTGCGGAGGCCATGGGTGAGGGCAGTAGTGGGGAGCCTGTGTCTGCAGCCCATGCCCACCATGCACACAGATTTGGAGGGCATGAGTCCCCCTTTCCCCCCGGGAGTGCACACAGGGGCGGGGAGCCAGACCCACCCCCCAAACAAGCCACCCGCAGCCCCATCCTGCACCCCGCTGGGGCCCTGCAGCCACTCATTGTGGCTCTGGGTCCCAAGCCCCATGCACTGCCTAGCTGGCCAGCAGCCCCAATCCCAGCCCCATCCCTGCCCCACTCCCTCCCTACAGGGGCTCAATTTCCCCACCCGCGCTTACCTGTGGGGGCTGCTCTTGAGACAGCCTGGGGCCACGTACATGTATGTGCACATGGCGGCCCCTGCCTGATCGCCCTCCTCCCGCTCCCTCCCAGCGCCCTGCAGGCTGAAAATCTGCCGGTCTACAGGGGGCTCGTCCCAAAACTGCAAAATCCCTGGGGTTCGCTAATAAAATGAGAAATCCACATTTTTCTCTTGTAAAAGGTAAAATCCATGGTTTACTCAGTTTTTCTGCGGGGAACAGAAAGCCTATATGCCTGCTGGATGAGCAGCTATAGCTGTGAGTTGCCAGAGCAGTCTATTCCTGCTTTAGGTTGGGATGAATTGGTGGGGGCAGGAACATGAAGCTGAGAGGCAGGGAGTTAATGGAATAGGTGTGGGTAATGAACTGGGAGGTGGAGAGGCAGTTGGGATGAGGGACAGGTGGTAAAATGAAGGAAGTCAGCCACTTAAGAATAAAATAAAAAGAAGAAAGAACAAAAAGAATTTAAAAAGAAATAATGCAGGCAAGGTTCTTTGGGTAGATTTGATCTTTTATTTTATTAGATCAACTGAGTAGTTGGAAAAAAGTTCTTTGCAAGCTTTCAGGCGTAATCACCCTTCTTCAGGCATAGGGAGTCTCTGCTTCCATAAGAATAATGGTCTACACTCCTAATGTAACCACTAAAGTCACCACAGTCATACTGGGGCATATTTTGCCTTTAAAAAAATATTTTAGTTTGGAAATCATGTCTTAGTGAAATATTTAAACACAAATGGGCATACTTTAACCCATCCCCTCTCAGGAATTCATTTTATTCATTTTTTTAAATTAATCTCAATAACTGTATCATGGGTATGTTGCTGATGCATCAATATTTATAGTGTTAGTATCACAACTGCATCAGGTATCACCTATCATGAAGTTCATTATATTTAATGTAAATCTGCATTAAGACAAGAGATGTAAACTCTAGTAAGCTATCCTATAACTACATCATGCATGACCAGATACAGGCTTTTTTCTGACTTGATTCTTCAAGGTTCGCTTTCCCACTTTTTTTTTTCAGTTTGTGTCCAGATATGGGAGAAACTGATTCCAAACTGCACACTACTGGATTCCAGCTTCTTTTGTTCTTTAGAGTGGTTTTGCCTTCTAAGGTAAATATGCTTTATTTTGTATTGATTTTTCAGGAACCTTTCTCCGTCTCATTTTACTTTACCTATAGTCAAGGCCCCATGTTCTTCATGGCACACTAGGACTAAATTCAGTACCATTAAGTTATACTACCACCAAAAAATAGTGTGCCTCCCCATTCTGGCCCCTGCAGGAAGGTGTTTCAGTGGGTTATAATGGAAGATACTCACTGATGTTAAATAAGCCAGTGATTATTTTCAAGAATGATTGATTTTTTTTTCACAGTGTTATGTCCTTTTGCTCCCTAGGGGGCTCAGCTTCATTTCCCAAGCCTCAGATCAAAAGACATTATTCAGGTGGTCTTGCTCATAATCTTCCTCAACGTGTTTGCCAAGGAAGTGAGGAAACCTGGAGTTAGAATCAGTAGCATATCTCTAGCTGCTTGGGCCTAATCGTGGTGTGCTGGCCTCCAGCCAGCTCTTGTTCTCTGAATACAAGTTTGACTTTTTTTTCCTCTCCAACCCTCTGCTCCCTGGCTGCATGGAACATTGTACTGTAATAAAATTAACTGCTCATGGAGAAAGCTTTAGAACAAAAGTAACTGCCAGCAGATCCTTGACTGGCTAGGAAACACAATGAAGTATAGGGGACCTGGTTGTGTGTCACCAAATCTGCTGAGCCCTGACTAAGTGTAATGGGGTAGATCTTATCCCTTAGCAGTATTGCTTCAGGCTCTCTACAAACTCAGACAGATATGGTTGGATCAGTTTACACCAGGAGCCAACAATTATTTGTGCTGGAGGGCCACTTAAGGAGCTTTGGTAAGCTGCTGTGTGCTGGGGAACTGGAGGGGAGGTGGGCTGCTGACTTGGCCTGATGCAGCAGGGAGGGTGTCTTGACCCAGACTCGGTGGGGAGAATTGATTGTTTCCAGCCCTGGGCCTATCTGCCCTGTGTCCTGGCCTGGGAGTGCCAGGGGAAGTGTGCAGGTGGGCTGGCTGGGTCTCTTTGGAGACAGGCCTGGGACTCCTGTGGATAGGACATACTTGGCTGGGCGGAAGGGATGGGGCCATGGGCAGGCTGGGACTGGTATCCACTCTCTGCATGTCCCTGTGGCAGGAGCTGGTTCAATGAGCAGAGGTGTGCAGGGAGCGGATCATGGTTTGGCCCCCAGGCCCTGGCCCTGGGCTGTCACCACCCCATGATCTTAGCCCCAGCTTCACCTGTCCTCTTCCCAGATGTCACTTCCCACCCGTAGCAATATCACATCTACCATGTCCAGCCCATGTGGGTCCCAGGCTCGTCTCCTGCCCTCCCATCCACTTCATACGGTATCCCTGCTGGTGGGTGCAGGGTGGACTGGCACTGGCAGCCAGGCAGAGTGAGCTGCTGTCATAGGTGCTGACAGGAAGCCAAACCTGACCTCTGTGCTGCCCCCATTCTGCCATGTGCCTGGGGGCAGCAGGACTGGCTGCATGGGCCACAAGCTGAGCTGCCCTCCATGCCTGGGCCAGGTAGGGCTGCGGGTCCCACTATGGGCCAGATGGAATCAGTTGGTGGGCCAGATTTGGTCCATGAGCTGTATTTTGCCCACCTCTGTGATGCGCATCACAGTTTCAAGGTTACTCCATAACCTTGAATTTTAGACTCAGTCAGTCCTGCACACACAGGTGAATCCCATAGCTACAGCATCACCGATGACAGCTGATGTACAGCTAGAGCTCCAGGTGCCATACTATCTAGTGCCTCTTGCTTTTGTGTGTGCATGTGTGTGTGTGTTTGTATCTTATTGCATCCCTTAGTCCCCTTATTTCTGTTTTGCTTGCAAGTGATGTTGGCTAGGCAGCATATCTTCATATGGAATACCTTGAATGGAAACTCTGGGTGTTTCTGGTATATACATATTAATTAATCTTGTAACTAATAATAGTTTATTTTTCCAGATTGGTCATTCAAAGCTAGACAGACAGCCCCCTTCATGTCTGAGCTGCCTGTCATTTCTTCCCTCGGTCTCCCACACCCCATCATCTCTAGTCAGGTGCATTTATTGCTGGCCTGAACAGCATTACTTTATGTGGAAATAATCCATGTGGCTCAAGTCCTCCTGTCTCTTGCTAAGCCACACATCCATTCAAAACATATAAATGCACTGCATCTAAGAGGGGATGGAGGTGGTGCCATGGTAAGATAAAGCACAGATGGCTTACTTCATGGTGTGAATTTCCTCAGGCCTAGTGGGTGTTATCAGTGCCCATCTGCTCTATTCTGCATAGAAAAACAGTGGGGAGTTTCCCTTTGGAGAGGACAATATACCTCTTTGTCTGTCCTTTTCTAAGCACTGTTATGTTATTGCTGCCAACAGAAAGTCCTGGCCCTCCACTTACTTTTGGTATGACATATCTGAAATCCAATAATGGAGTTCCCCCTACTGGCCTGTCTCAGGATATGAACCCACAGCCCTGTTCCTATTGTTGTGAATTATGCTGACATCTCCAAAGTTGCTAGTGTGCATTGATCTCTGAGGAGCAAACCTGTGTGCAAGATGGAATAATTAAGCATCCCCTTTATAAAGCTCTTGAGTTGTATTGATTTTATTCCTCCTGTGTCCTCACAAAGTGTTGGTATAACCTTCCTGTTGTTTTACCACAAAAACTGCAGCTGTTGAGCATTTATTTTGCCTTTCAAGGGATTTCTGAACCCTTGGGTATATGAACAAAGTTCTCTGATGTCTCCTTTGCTATTTCCCTGTTTATCTTATGGAAATAAGTCCTCCTGAGATGGGCCAGTCCCTTTTCTCTTCCCAGGCTCCTCATCTGTCAGTCTGGGCCAGCCTTTTCCTCTTGTTTTAATCAGGCTGTTCCTGTGGGTCTGAGATCCCCGTGTTTCCCATAGCTGACGAAGCTCTGGACTTGTACCTGTTGGGTCACTGCGACTGGCTGGGGGGGTGCATTCTCGCGTGTCAGTCCCGGTATGACGTGATCCTGGGGGCGCTGGGCTAGCAGATTGTTTTTCTTTTTTCTTTTCCTTTTTCCTTTGTTTATGCTACACTTGATTTAATACTCGGACCACACTTGGTTCCCAATGGCTGCTGCTTCTGAATAAGAAAAATATTCCAATAGACTTATGACCTCTCTTTTCAGTAAAATAGGCCACTTCCTCATTTTGAAAACATAATAGAAACCACCTCCCCTGCCCCCACTCCCCTAAAACAAGGAAAATCCACATTTTCCAAGGGGAAAAGATGAAAGGGCCTGATCCTTCAAGCCGTGCTGTTTTATGTCAGTAAAATTATTCACTGATTAAGGATCTAGCTTTTGGTAAATCTAAAAGTGCAACATTTGTATGAAAAAAAAAGTTTTTTAAGAGTTTAAGGAAACATTACAAACAATAGACACTTAAATAAAAATAGCGGATAATGCTGTTTTGATGGCAGAAGTAACTTAATGGAGGATAGAGAATTGCACATAGAAAGTATTTCAGTTGTTGCTAACGAACAGGTGAGTAGACTACAGGAACTGAACTTTAACTTGGTTTCTAGATGCCATTAATCACTTGCCTATGACCATATCACTTGCCCACTCATCCGTCTCCCTAGGGCTGATTCTGGCATTTTGAGATAGCCACTGGGTGTTTTTCAAATCAATTGCCAGAGAAACGTTTTTCTTCTCCTACCAAATTAACCCAGCTTGTGGTCCATCTTGGGTAAGATTCAGTACTGGCCGACATCAGGTTTTCTTTGTATAAAAAACACCAGTGCAGTGAAACCTGGGACTATTTAAAGAAATATAGGTGCTTTGAACTGTAAAGAGGGGAGGGTGAATTTTCTAGCTTCCCAGTGGACACACAGTATTTGCTTCTGGCCCTGAAAGGGCTCAAGCTATCAGGCCTATCAATTCTGTTTTAGGTAATATAGGGCTGTTTTACATTAATTAATTCTATTTGTCTTTCAACACTGCACAGTGTATTTGAGTTAATGTGAGCTAAGTTTTCATGCTAACAAATACAAAAAATAGCTCATGAAAAGTTTAAAAAGTTATCTAAAACATTTGCAGTATATTTTTTTTCTCATAGCCTTTATGGATTATATGAAGGAGAGGTGTACGATAAAGGTCTTACTCATTCATCACTCATCTTTGCGCTTTCTGCATACCTACTATGGGATTATTTTTTCCTAGTACTAATCAATGTAGATGTTTGATGTGGCACTTATTTATGTTGGCAGAAAATAAACCACATCCCTGGTAGATGGATTTAGGCAGAAGAGACTGTGGGCTGTTGCTGTTCAAAAGTTATGGTAATAATAAATTATGTGCTTATGGGCAGAGAATTAGGTTTGTACTGTTAGGTGGCTTGACATTTTCTTTCCTTCTTTTTGTGGATTTATGTCAAATCTTTTGTGTGTATAATAGCATGAATTGCTTTACAAGCAAGTTTGTTGTGTATACATTTCCTAGGCTTTTTTTTTTTTAATGCTTAGCTGGGAATGAGGGCATAGTGAGGAAGGTGGAGAAGAGCATGTGTATGTGGGGTAGAAGTGCAGATGCTGGTGGACAGTGTTTGTCACCATCTGGTTTTAGAGTAAAACCAGACAGAAAAGTGTAGCTCAGGGAGGTTTATATACATCTGGCACTATCAGGCTTGCAGGTGCCAGGCCTCGCCCAGAAACATGTGTGTATGCATTCCCACCTGCAACTCTTCCTATAGCAGCAATGTCTTCATGTCCAGCTCTGAACAATGTGTGTGGATGAGTGCCCCCAGTGCTCCATCAGTCAGGTTGGTACTCATGGGACATTAACTTTCAGTTTACTTTGGGATTACACGGTTCTAAATCAGCCCTAAATCCATCATTTAAAAAGGATGGCAGGAGCAAAACCTCAAATCTACCAGTTGCACCAGATCTATGCAGAAGATGCCAGTCAACAAGATGACCAAAGAAAAAATATCACAGCTAAGGGGTTTTCCATGATTTTAAATCTATAAAATGCCTACAAATATTTAACTTGATGTCAATTCAGTAAACAGGC